ATTGAATAAATAAATAAATCGATATTGAAATAAAAAATATTTTTTCTTCTTTTGAATTAATATTAAAACAGTATTAATTTTAAAAGTTTTTTTTAACTTTTTATTCATTCTTACTTACATGTTTACAATGATCCACTTCATATTTAACTATTTTTTTTATACATTAAACTATTACATAGTATTACATATTACATATATTATTAAAATTACTGCATCAATTGATTTTTATTATTGGAATATAGAAAAATTGATATAACATGGATTACTTCCAAATTCTCTGCGCCCTAGGCGTGGTGATTCTCACGATTTACTATTATTATTCATCAATATATTCTTTTTGGAAAAATCGTGGCATATCTGGGCCAAAACCTACAATACTTTTTGGCAATTTTATAAATTCTGCGATAAGAAAACTGTCGATATCTGAAACTATTAAAAATTGGTACGACGAGTATAAACATGAATCAGTCTTTGGGATATTCGAGGGAATGACTCCGATTCTTATCATTAACGATTTAGACATGATCAAAGATGTTCTCATCAGAGACTTTTCATTATTTGTGGATCGAGGATTTCAAATTTTTCCCAAGGTATTTCAATTCATAGAATTTTTATAAATTTTTATAAAGGAGTATCTGATTTTTCTAATAGTAATAAATTAACGTTTATTAAAAAGTTTGACTTAAAATCACAATTATAAGAAAAGATTATTCTTTTTTCGATAATTCGGAGTAAAATTTAGGATAAAATATTAATGATAATTTTATTTGTGAATAGATAGAACCATTGACGCAACATCTCTTCTTGTTGGAGGCTGAAAGATGGCGGCCAATGCGAATGAAACTTTCGCCGATATTCACGTCCGGCAAACTGAAAGAGATGTTCCCTCTTATAATGGAAAGCGCGGGAAATTTAGAGAAATACTTGGACGAAGTGATAAAGAAGAACGAAATGGTGGAATGCCGTGATTTAGCTGCAAAATTTACGACCGACGTAATCGGCAGCTGCGCTTTTGGGATCAACACAAATTCCCTTTTGGACGAGGATAGCGATTTTCGTAGAATGGGCAAGAAAATTTTTTCACCTACTTTGAAATTGATGCTCGGAAATATTTGTAAAGGAATTTTTCCATCTTTGTACAATGTAATCGGTAATATGTTTACAATGAAAGATGTCGATGAATTTTTTATAAATTTGGTCAGTGACACGATGAAATATAGAAAGGATAACGATATAGTTCGAGCAGATTTTATCAATATGCTGATGGAACTGAAAGAACATCCAGAGAAAATGGATAATATTGGTAAGTATGTATGCGTATGTATAATTATAATATAAATTTTGTAGAAGAATCTTTGAAGAAATTAGATTCGAAGAAATTAGAACTGATACGTAAAATTGATATTTTCAACTTTTGTGATTGTCTTCGTTTCTAGAATAGAGAACAATTTGTAAAATATATTCTAGTATTTTCGATGTCAGTTCAAAGTTTCTAAATAATTATTGTATGTACTATATCAAACTATAATAATGAAAATAATTATTTACTGTAATATCATAAAATTTAATAGCCACAGGTTTGTACCAAAAAATTTACAGTATCCACGTTTCATTATATTTTACAGAATTAACAGATATTTTGTTAACTGCGCAAGCAGTCGTCTTCTTCGTTGCCGGATTTGAAACCTCTTCATCGACAATGGCATTTAGTCTTTACGAGTTAGCTCAAAATCAAGAAATACAAGATAAATTACGACAAGAAATTAAAAAAGTGTACGAGAAAAGTAATGGAGTATTGACATACACAGATATCAAAGAAATGAAATATTTGGATAAGGTGTTTAAAGGTATCTGTTAAATCTATCTCAAAGGAAGAATTACTTAATTTAAAAATAAAACTTTTTCTATTTACTCATAAATAAGAAAATTTAAGTAAATTCTATTCCCATTAAATTAGAAAATTAATGATGTTTTTTTATTCGAAATCAACTTGAATCGAATAAATATTAATATATTACAATTAATATTTTTTTCTTTACAGAAACGTTAAGGAAATATCCAATATTGTCGATGTTATCCAGACGAGTGATGGAAAATTATACATTTAAAGGTACTAAAATTACGATACCAAAGGGAACAAAGATATGGGTACCAGTGTGTGGTATTCAACACGATCCAAATATTTATCCGGAACCTCAAGTATTCGATCCCGAAAGATTCGAAGATGATGCTTTTGCTAGTAGACATCCTATGAGTTATTTACCATTCGGCGATGGACCAAGAAATTGCATTGGTACGTTTTCTAATCTATGCACATTAAATCGTGCATAATTTTCTTATTTTTATTGTTATTGATTATTTATCTCGTCAGATGATACACAATTTGTAATATTTATATGCGAATTAAATGCATTTTCGACAATTGTATAAATTTTATAAATTTTAATTTTAATTTTTGTAATTATTAATTATTATTTTCAGGTGCTCGTTTTGCGCATTATCAAAGCAAGGTTGGTCTTATAACAATTCTTCGCAATCACAAAGTTAATGTTTGTGAAAAAACTACGATCCCCTTCAAATCTGAGGAGCGTAGCTTTTTATTGACGCTAAAAGGAGGAGTGTACTTAAAAATAACTAAGATTTAATGTTAATATAAAAAATAATTATTATTATACAATAATATTCATATTTTTAATTAACTAAGTAAATATTTGATCTCAATTTCAAATTATAACATTTAAAATATTAATTATTATTGATTCAAATATTAAATTATTATTTATAAAAATAATTTTTATTATTTTTCAACTTTTTCAAAAATATTTTTTATTTTTGTTATGTATATAAAATCTTAATTCTTAATTAATATCGTTGATATGTATATAATATGATTTATAATACGGTTTATAATAATTTATCATTTCAATAGAATAGAAATAATTTCGAAGGAAATTACATCAAACATGAATTTATAAAAATAATTAGAAAAACATTAATTATACTTATTTTCTTGTATTATTTTATGTATATTTGAATGTTTTATATTTTGGTTAATTTTGTTTTTCTTAATTTCTTTTCTTTCCTTATCCTTATTCTTATCTTTTCAATTCCACTTTTAATTATTTTTGTATTTATATAATAATATATTATATAATATTAAAAAAAATAATTAAATATTAAAAAATAATCTTATAATTTATGCCAATTATATTATATATTTATATTATATTATATAGATACAATATAAATGCATGTTTCAATTACATATTAGTTCGTCTAGTCTCGTCCTTTCTGTTCTCGCCACTAGAGGGACAAGTGCACGAACGTCTTCTCACAAGTATCAACTTATCTGAATTTTTATATAATAGTCTTAATCGTTATACAATCTAGTATTAATTATCTTAGTGTTAGTTAGGATATATTAAATATTGTACATTGACTATTTATTAAATAGTGTCTATTATATTTTATAATACAATATTTAATATTTTTTGTAATATTTTTTTACTTTTTGTATACTCATTTCTTTTAATATTATTTGTATTATTTTTAATATTTTTATATCATAAAAAATTATTCATGAGTAATACGATTAATATTTACTTTAAAAAAAAACAATAGAAAGGAAGATAATAATTTTTTACTATTTTCATTCACTATTTAAAATTTTTAAAATTTTTAAATGATCACGAAAAAGAGATTTTTGATGACTGATAAAACAAAATATAATCTCTCTTTTATGCAATAGTTGAATATATGTGAGTTAAAAAGAAGCGCGATTAAATTGAAACTAGGTGTGGAAAGATTGCAATCAATCAAATCTGTATTTCTTAATTACATCTTCTTTCCAGTTTTATATTCAGAATACATAGACTACAAACATCTCTCTTAAAAGTTAAAGGTAAATATCTTTCTTTATCTATCATTACATTGTATTTGATGTTAATATTAAAGATTATAAATTATTAATAATCTATCTATAAATAATATCGATAATTTAATCGATTTAATAATTAAAAAATTAAGATCTAGTTAGATAAATAATTTTTTGCGCAGTTTATGTTACGTTATCTATATAACCAAACTAATATTTATTTAGCAAAGCTAAATAATAAAACTATGGGTTTTATTATTCTTATTTAATTAAGTTAGTTGAACAAAGTACAATATATATATATTTATCCTTTATAAATATATTTAATTTATGAATATAATTAAAATTCAGTTTATTTATTTTTTATGAATATGACTGAAAATAATATAATAATATAATTACAAAAATACATTGTAAAAATTTACAAAAAAACTCTTATTTAAAAATGAGTGATTTTATTTTCTATCAGTGTAAAATATTTTTTTTTTTGTTCATTTTTAAAAGATAAAATAATAGTTGCGTTAATATTAAATTAAAATTAAACTGAAAATATAATGGTATATAAAAATATATATCAATCAAAAATATATAGCGACTGATATATAAGAAATAAAATTCTTAGAAATTAAAGAATAAATAAAAGATATTATATACAAAGAAATAAAGAATACTATATCGAATTATAAATTTATGCCAACTCTCTCGTGTAAATTTTTTTAGACTAAAAAAATATTGGCCAATTGATTTCAAATGAAGCAGAAAAATTTTCTTCAATGGAAAAGTCATCATTATGATTCTATATAGATTCTATATTATTATATCAATTTATATAAAAATTTTATTTATATATGATATATTTGTAATACCTATATTCCTCTGCAATCTTGTTAAAGATAAATATAATAAGTATCAATATTTGATTTGTCATGCAGTAAATCTACAAGTGCGTATTAAAAAGAATAAACAAAAATAATCACCAGATCAGAATTGATTATATAATTGAATCCAAGTTTTATTTTATCATGAAATCACCAACTCAACAGAATCGTTTTATATTTCATCGTGATAGGATCTCGAAACATCCATTTAAATGTTAAAGAAATTGTGATTTTATTTTCATTCTGAGATAGATTAGTCACTTACTTAATTATTTAATTTAACAAAAATTAATTGAATAATAATTGTTTGTTTCTTTTTATTTTAATAAGCGTGATTTTACTTGAACGTATATATTGTAGATATTCTATGCATCTACGCATTATTTATTATTCTTTACAAATCAGCACCTATACGAACGAAAATTTAAAAAAAGATATTAACGATCATTTTCTCAATCACGAGAATTGTGATTTACCAATTGATCTTTTATAATTTATTTTACCATTTAGAAAGTTTGATACAACATGGATTATTTTCAACTTCTCTGCGCCATTGGAGCGTTATTGTTCGCGATTTATTATTACTTCACTTTAACCTTTGACACGTGGAAGAGTCGTGGCATACCTGGACCAAAACCTATGATCTTTTTCGGTAATTTCCAAGAAGTTATCTTCAAGAAAATATCCCTGGCCGAAAAAACAAAGCAATTATATCAAGAATACAAGAACGAATTAGTTTTTGGAATATTTCAAGGGAGAACCCCTGTTCTTGTTATTAACGACTTGGATACGATCAAGGACGTTCTCATCAGAGATTTCAGTTTATTCGCGGATCGAGGAATTCATATAAATCCTAAGGTATTCATAATTTTATTATTATAAAACGATTCGAATTATAATATGCTTTGATATCGAAATATTGTTAATTTTATATATTTTTACAATTCTTTTTTATATATAATATTACGTATTATATTCAATTTTTTCAAGAATATTCTTTGTAATGCACGAGATAAAAAAAAGTTTAATCGCATGAAATAATTTACGATAAAATCAAGAAAGATAAAAAAACTTGGGATAATTTAATTTAAAGGTGGAACCGATATTTCAAACTCTCTTCGCATTGGAGCCTAAAACGTGGCGACCGTTGAGAACGAAACTCTCTCCAGTGTTTACATCGGGCAAATTAAAGGATATGTTCCCTCTTATACTGGATTGCGCAAAAAATTTAGAGGAATACGTAGAAAAGGTAACAGAGAGCGGAGAAGCAGTGGACTGTCGTGATATGGCTGCAAAATTCACCACCGATGTAATTGGCAGTTGCGCGTTCGGAGTGTGCATGAACTCTCTTTCACCCGAAGGAAGCGAATTTCGTCGAATGGGGGAACAACTTGGCAAATTCAATTTCAAACGCTTAGCCAGAGATTTTACCAGGCTATATATGCCATTTTTGTTCGATATAATTGGTGGTTACTTACAATCGCACGAAATTAATAACTTCTTCATAAATCTGATCCGTGACTCGATCAAATACAGACAGGAGAATAACGTATTCAGGCCGGATTTTGTGAACACGTTGAAAGAACTAAAGGAGCATCCAGAAAAATTAGAGAATGTTGGTAAGTTAAGAATGTAGTAGAGGAAGAAATGTTGAAAATGTAATTTTTACGTATATTTCCATATTTCCATATTGATGTGAGAAAAATTAACATTGTCGGTTATTTAAATACGAGGATGAATATTTATTTTTTTAAAACGTTCATTGAAATAAACATCTTGTTGAATTCTTGATTATTCAAATTTTATTTTTACGACTTTAAATCGTATCTTTTCCAACTTATAGTCGATTTGAAAAATATATGCAATTATATTAATGTGTGATATTAATTTGTTGTAAATTTGTAATTTGTCAAATATTTTATAGAATTAACCGATGCGCTTCTCACTTCGCAAGCACTCGTCTTCTTCCTCGCTGGATTTGAAACATCTTCGACAACGATTTCAAATGCTCTTTACGAGTTAGCTCAAAATCCGGAAATGCAAGATAAATTGCGGGAAGAAATAAAAGAAGTTTACCAGAATAATGGCGGAGCATTGTCATATACAGATATGAAGGAAATGAAATATTTGGACAAGGTATTTAAAGGTGTGTAATACCTTGAGTTGTACTATTTACCATTTTATTTTTCGAAATAATCAAAAATCTAGTTAAAATAGAAAACAATTCGAATAAGTTAAACATTAATAACAAATATATTATTTAACATTATGGATTAAATGGGAAACATTATTAACGTTATAACGCTATAAACATTATATTAATATCCTAACAGAAACACTGAGAAAGTATCCAGTGTTGCCGGTAATAAGCAGAAAAGCGATGGAAAATTATACATTTAAAAACACGAAAATTACTATATCGAAGGGGACAAGAGTATGGATACCAGCGTATGGAATTCAACACGATCCAAATATTTATCCGGAACCTCAAGTGTTCGATCCCGAAAGATTCGAAGATGATGCTTTCGCTAGTAGACATCCTATGAGCTACTTGCCGTTTGGCGATGGGCCAAGAAATTGCATCGGTACGTTTCTACGCACATTAAAAAGTCGTGCATCATTTTCCTATTTTTATTCTCGTTGATCGTGTATCTCGTCAGTCAACGAGATATATCAATGATACATAATTTATTAATATTGATATTATGTGCAAATGCATTTCGTCAACTTTAATAAATTGTTATAAAATTGTTTCCAGGTGCTCGTTTTGCGCATTATCAAAGCAAGGTTGGTCTTATCACGATTCTGCGTGATCACAAAGTTGAAGTTTGTGCAGAGACGTTGATACCGTATGAATCCGAACCGCGAAATATATTGATGATACCGAAAGGAGGAAAAGTGGAGTTGAAAATAACGAAAGTTTAATTATTAACCTCTTCCATATTTATCTTAATTTTTATTTTAATCTTTAGTCGTAGAAAGAGATATTTTTTTAAAAAATATTGCTTAACAAAAAATATTTTTACGATTTAATTCGGACATCTTAGTTCACATAATTAATATTAAAGTGCACAATGTTTGTTTAAATGTTGGAAAATACTTTGCATCTGTTAGAAGAGAAATTTTTTGAGAAAAAAATAGTAAATCCTTATATAAAATAAGGTATACGAGATAATATTTCACATAATGATTTAATATATAAAACACAATTATTTTATTAAACAATATATATATATATAAATATAATCATCTTTTAGAATTTTAGATTATTTTATATTTTTTTACAAAATTTTATAATTTTTTAAATATATTGACTTTTAGAATAAAAAGTTAAGTATTGCGAGAAGCTACTAAGAAATTTGTATTGAACAATGCAAAAGAACGAGAAAATATATGTCTTAAAATACGGATTTAATTTATTAATTCACAATTTATACTTTTAATGAATTCAAATGATAAAAAAGTATACATATATTATACAATAATATATAATAAAGATAAACATATCTTCAAATGTTATGTAATCTATTTATCAAGTCACATATTTATTTTTTCAATTATTTAATTATTTATTGTCACATATACATATAAAGAAATTTTATCAGGTTATAAAATAAGAATAAAAAAAATAGGATAAGTATTTTTTCATTTTTGAAAATGGACTTATCAATAATTTACTTCTACAATAGAAGATCAGAATTTTAAATATATATCCGAATAATTACGTCAAAAGATATAGAATGTTGTTTAGCAAATCGTATTTCTGAAAATTCGTACTCTCGATATGCGTCTCTTTGATAAAATAAGAGCGTAAGAAGTGTCACAAGATATAATATTTCTGAAAATTCGTATGCCTCTCGATATGCCTCTCTTTGATAAAATAAGAGCGTAAGAAGTGTCACTATTCTATAATTGTTCTATCTTTTTCATTTTTTTAAAAACATACAGATAAAATATGTAAACATTATTATGAAATACGTGCGAATAACGTGAAATTTTTTTAGCTATTTTAATTAATCAAAGCATTATTTAAAATATTTTTTTATTTTAATTCTCGGCTTCCTAACTGTTTAACACTTAATCTACCGACAGTTGTTCCATCAAAATGAATGATGCTTAAAAAAGTTATCGTTTTTGTATGATTTAACGTAGATAATGGTTAATTTATTATTGAATGTATATAAAATGAAGAACTTTCATAAAATTTCGTCCAAATTTATATAATTTATATAATTTCAATTATAAAAAACTTAAAAAAAAACCAAAACTTCATTTTTCTCTATTCTATGATGTATTTCTGAAAGACTAATTTTCAATGTATCTAATTAATAAACCAAACTTTACCAGTATGTATATCTAAAATTATTTAAAATAAAATTTAACTTAACTTTTATTTGTACAGAGATATATCTTATTCAGCTTCGCTGCACTTTTCACAAATTATTTTATTCTCAAATGTGCATTTGCCGCACACATATTTTTTGCACGAACAGATATTCGTAGTTTTGTAACCTTTACAATATTTTATTTGATAATATTTTATAAAATTTTTCGTACGTACGAATTTGAACTTGTTGATAGTATTTTCATCCGTTGTTTCTTTATAGATAACTCATTTATTCCATTTATTCCAGCTAAAATGTTGAAAAATATCCATTTTAAAAATATCCACAAGATTTTGACTTCACACTGTATTTCCTTCCCATTTGGTCCGCCACGTCTACACCGAATTTTCCATTATTATAAAAGCTAATCGTTTCTGATATATTCTTTGCTACTTTTTTCGATTTTTATCGATTTATACTTAACACAACCACTTTTTTTGTTGGTTTGCTTTTATAAGAAATACGATTTGATCTACATCGGTCTCACTTTTGGATGTCACCAATAATCTTTTTCTTTTTTGCTCTGGACGTGGATGCTTATTTATAATATTCTCCTTTTCATTATTGCTGTATCATTATTGCTCTGATTCGCTTGTTGCAAACATCTCGTTTTCCATTAGGTCGTTTTCAATTAGGGTAATTTCTTGTTCATCGCACATCGAATAGTTTTCTTCTGTTATATCCGTTATTTTTTCTAATAATTTTGAAACGCCTTGACATTTTTATGATAAATATTCACCATAAAATATCACACCATATACAAAATTCGTGCCAACGTTTTACTGCTTCGCTGTTTCTTTTTCAGAAATTGCACACGAAACGTTGCTTTCTCCTTGAGTTTGTCTCTTCTACTATTATTTCTTATTATTATTTGTTATTATTAATTTCAATAATTCAACTACTTGTTATTCGATCTTGAGATAATCTTTCCTTTGTACTGATTGTATATACTTAACGCCTGAACCTCGAAACAGTAGAGATCGAAATTGTACGATTTGTTGGGTTATTAATTGTTGTATTGCAGGGAATTCCTACTATTTTTCGCCAAAGTTGTCACAGATGCCATGAATTACGGTGAAAGGAATACAGGGACTGATTTTATCGACACGCTGATGATACTTTTCAATTCGAAGAATTTATGTAACTAATTAATGATTAAATTAAATTATGTTTGATAATGTAAGATAAATTAAATTATATTACATAGAATTTAGAGAGAAGCATAATTCGTAAAAAATTATTAATTTTTACTTTTGTTATTTTCAAGAATATTTCTTTTTTTTGGAATCAGCGTATGCGTATATAAAGTTCATAAGGAATCATAATTTTCTTTAAGGCTGATCACAATTAGACTAAATAAATAATAAGAGAATAGTAGCTGAGTAAGAAGAAAATTTATATTTTAAATTCTAATTTTTATTACATGTATCATTTGTTTTTGTAATTCCTATTTATAATAAATAATATAATAGAATGATGAAAATTTGTAGGCAATAATCAAATTTTCAAAATGCAAGCATTTTCAGAGGCATGCAATTGACGCGTGCAATTCATATTTTTGCGAAATAACGTTTGAGCCTCATCATGTTTTAATATTAAAATATATTTGTTTTCATTAACATTCAAGATTTAAAAAAATGAAAAAATTCAATATTTTGCATTATAATCTGTCAATATAAATATTGATTATAAATTATCAATATTATATAATTATAGTTATTTTATTATGATTGCTTCTATTTATTCAATATGTTATATTGCGACTTTGAAATATGTTATAAAGAGAGATCGTTTTGATAATATGTTAACCAAATTATCTGTATTTTAAAATTATTTTAAAAATAAATTGATATTACATCATTGAATTTTGCCCCTATATATCTACGTCACATGATGAGGAAAATTCAATTGATAAATAAATTACGTAAAAACACGTTTATTCATTTATCTTCTCCTATTTATGCGAATAATTGTTATAATAAAAACATGTATGTCTTTTGTCTTATTCCATGATATACTATCTATCGTGTTCTTGATTTACAACTTTCTATGCTATTCTTTTATAGCATACCATGTATTTTCCTCATGTGCAATCATTTTCCCCCGAACGGAATATTATTAATTACCGAGGGCAATAACTTTGAAATATATTGTTAATTATTAAATTTAGTCATTATATCAGTAGTAATTTTTATAAGAATGTAATTGCACATTGTATTTCTTCTTCATTGCAGAGCAGATTCATTTTTTCATATGATAATAATAATAAATTTAATGCATATTTTTATAATTTTATTTTTAATGTATGTAAATCACTCAAAAAAAGAAAAAAATGAAAAATCTATTTATATCTATTATACTTTATCGTTTGAAGAATATAGGAAAAATACATTTTTAATTAATAAAGAATATTAGGAATTATTACATTAAGATCGACACGAATTTTCCATGAACATTATTATTATATGAAAAATTAAATCACTGAACGAATAAAAAAATAATAATATGCATTGAAGAAAAGTGATGAATAAATTTAAAGTTGTTTAAAATTAGAAATAAAATATAGAATGCATTATTGATAAAAAATAATTTTTATCACCTTAATTGATTGAAACACGTTATATCATAATTAATATTGAATCTTCGCAAAAAAAAATTGCCATTTTAATTATTTTTACCATAAATTTATTAAATGTTTGATTATATTTTTGTAAAACGAAAAATGTGCTATAATGTCATTTAATTTTTAATATTATTTTATTATATTAAATTATTACACCTATCTGTAAAGTATCTTTTTAAAGTTAAGCATGCATTATTGTATATCCGAATATTTTCGCAAAAACTATCGTTTATCAAAATTTCGTGAAGTTTGACAAAGTTCTATGAAAACTTCTATGAAATGTTTTCTTGAAATAAGAAATCTCAGATTAGATGTTGTTTACAATTGACATATAATTATGAAAAAATTAACAAGTTCGATATCATGATTTATCTAACTACGTATAATAAATGTTAAAATAATTATTACTGTGACTAATACTATTTAGAAAAATATTGCAAGAATGCATTTACTACGACGACATTTCAACAAAAAAATGTGCATATTTTTAACAAAAAAGAAGAAGAAGAACTTCCTTGATTGTTAAAACATTAATAAATATCCAGAAATATCCATCTTATGATCTCACGATGTATTTTACATATTTTCTTAATTAATTAATTAATTAGTAGAAACAAGTATAAATGTATCGATAATGATTAATGATAGTAGATAATTTTTTAATTTACAAAAAAATATATTTCAAGTAAAATACAATTGTGCAATCGTTAATTTATAAAATAAATTATAGATAATATCAAAATTAGGGAATCAAGATTTTATTATATATATATATATATATATTTATATGCAATCAGACTGTATAATCAAACTAGCGAATATATACTTTTCTATATTTACTTTTATATATATACTTACTTTTTTTTCTAAATTTTTCATATGTATAGAAGATTCAGAAACGAATTTATTTACCAATTGAAAAAAACGAAGATATTGGCCTACGTAAGCTATTTTCAGAGAATATAATTTATACGTCATCTAAATTATATCTGAATATTGCACAAGGGTGAAAGTAAACTTCGTAATGAGGATACGAACATGATAAAAACTCTTATTGAACTTCATCATGACATACGTCATTCAAGATATATGCACAATATATAAGGAGCAGAATAAGGAAATCGTTAAAATTAGATTTAACATTATAAGAAGAACATCTTATATTATTATATTATAATTACACCAATGTGCATTATATTAGTAAAGTGTGAAATGTGAAAAGTTGTACGAGAATAAGTTAAAAAGTTTGTAAGTCAATGCCATTACAATTATTAGAAATATATATTTTAATCCATTTCAAATTTGCACTCGCTTGTCCAATTCGTTGATATTACTTTATATTTTATTTATTACTTGTTACTTGTAATTCTTTCTTTTTTTCTTCTTCTTCTCGAAAACCATGGATTTTTAAAAGAAAAATTTCTCAATAGACACAATGCGGATTATATTTCAACTGTTCTTTTTTTCTTTTTTTTTTTTTTCTTAAGAAAATTCTGATTCCTTTTCAAGGGATGATTATTTTATCCCTTAAAAACCGAATGTTGCTACGAACGAAAAATAAGATTGCATTGATTATACGCGAAATTTCATCATTTTCTTCAATTCCCTTGTTAGTTAATATATCTTTATATCGAATAATAATATCAAACTTTGTATTTATTTTAATTTCTAGGATCGACCATCCAAAAATATATTAACATTTTAACATTACAGTGATTGAAAAAAAACGTGACAAAATAATGATTCACATTGAAATCTTATGCGGGATCGCCATCGTATCATTCTTAGTCTTCTATCATTATTTCATATCGGCCTTCAATTTTTGGAAAAATCGCGGAATCCCTGGACCAAAGCCCGAATTTTTATTTGGAAACATTAAGGACATCATGTTGTCAAAAATTTCAACACCTATGTTTATTAAAAACATCTACGATACGTACACGAACGAGGCGATGGTCGGATTGTACATAGGACGAAATCCGATTCTGTTTCTAAAAGACCCGGAACTAATCAAGGATGTATTGATCAGGGATTTCTCGAAATTCGCAGATCGAGGATTTAACGTTCACGAAAAGGTAGAGATTTATTTAATCACGGTTTAAATAAAAACAACGACAATATTGTGCAATATTTTATCGATCGTTTTTTACGCACGAATTTCTTTACGCATATTTTTATTATATACAGACATGAATATATTGATTTCTCAAAAATTTCTCAAAAGTGTACGTTAAATTTTGTTCACAGGTGGAACCATTGTCGCAACATCTTTTCAACCTGGAGCCAAAAAGATGGCGTCCGTTGAGATCGAAGCTATCCCCAATGTTCACGTCGAAAAAATTGAAAGAGATGTTCCACCTGATCCTCGAGTGTGGCCACCATTTTGAAAACTATTTGGACCAGCTCGCGGCACAACAAGAGCCCGTCGATTTTTACGAGGTAACAGCGAAATACACGACAGACGTAATCGGTTCGTGCGCCTTCGGAATCAACATGAACGCTATGTCGAACGAGGAGAGCGAATTTCGAGTGGCTGGTAGAAAAATTTTTGAACCCACTTGGAACGCTATAATACGATTGAAATTTAAAATAACAATGCCAAGCCTGTACGATTTCTTGGGTCCTCTTATACCTGAAAGAGAAGTTACTCCGTTTTTTATCAAGATCGTCACTGATGCCATGAAGTACAGGAAAGAGAACAACGTGTCTAGGCCTGACTTTATCGATATGCTGATGAAACTTCGCGATGATTCAAAAAGCTTGAGCGATATCGGTAACGTTATAACTATTCGTTATATAATAAATAAACATACATTTATCTTTTTTTTTTTTTAATAATAATAATTATTCTGAATATGAATTTATAATACGAACTTATTATTACGAATTCGTAGAATTGACCGATGCTTTCCTAACTGCGCAAGTATACGTTTTCTTCGCCGCTGGTTTTGAAACTGGAGCGTCGACGATTAGCAATGCGCTTTACGAATTGGCACAAAATCAGAAAATACAGGACAAGTTAAGGGAAGAGATTCGGGAACACTACGATAAATACAACGGAGAATTGATATACGAGAATATTAAAGAGATGGAATACTTTGACAAAGTGTTAAAGGTAGTTAATAATTAATTTCCTTCTCGAAATTATTTATTTTGTCGTATATATTCGTGATAAAACATGTGATAAAACGACAAATAAGAATTTTTCCATTTCCAAAAATAATTAAAGAAACGAAAATTCCCTGTTATTATTTTTTTTATTATTATATATATATATATATAATGCTTTAATTCTTGATAGTATTTTAATTATAATGGCTTTAAAATCTTGTAATTATTTTTACAGAAACATTAAGGAAATATCCACCAGGAACTTTGATACCAAGAAGATCAATTTCCGATTACACTTTCAAAGACACGAACGTTACTATACCGAAAGGTACAATGATATGGATTCCTGCATTCTCGATTCATCGTGATGCCAACATTTATCCAAATCCTGACGATTTCAATCCCGAAAATTTCACCGAAGACGCCATTAATAATCGCCATCCCATGAATTATTTACCCTTCAGCAATGGACCAAGAAATTGCATCGGTACATTTCATTCAATTTCTAATTCTAATCTTCTTTCTATTCGTTCCAAAAAAAAAAAAAAATTACGTTAAAAGTATTATTCATTTGAAAAAAAATTTGCCACTATATACTACATTCAAAAATTCAAAAATGATTTCCAATAATAATTCGTGTAACTTTTGTTTCCTAGGTGCACGCTTCGCGAATTATCAAGTCAAAATCGGTTTAATTATGATTCTTCGTAATTATAAGGTGGAGGTTTGCGAGAAAACTATGATTCCCTACCAATTCGATCCAAATTTATTTTTATTGGGTCCCAAGGGAGGGATACATTTAAAAATAACGAAAGTGGAAAGTTAAAGTTGTATTATGGTTTTATTTATACAATATATTATATACAAATTTTGGTTTCAATTGTTTTGACCAAATGGTTTTTCCGTAAAAAGAAATTCAAAGCACGCTTGTTAATTTTTAAGATTCAAGGGATAAAAAAATATGATGAAAATATTAACTATTCAGTAGTATTTAATAATATTTAGTAGTATTCCTTGATAGTAATAAAATATGAAAAGTTGAGAAAGAGATATTAGACTATATAGATATTATCAACTAAATACCTAAGACTACAAATATCATTAACTATTACATCGATATCGATATTAAATTCAAATATTATTTTATTAAATTTTTAAATTATTGTATATAATATATAATTATTATTATTTATTTCTAATGAGATTACTATTATTATTTATTTATTACTATTATTATATATTTATATATTATGACATTGTTATTATTATTTTATTTATTATGAGATTATATTTTTAATATTTTATGAAAATAAAATAAATTTTTTATAACGATTCAAAACAGAATATGCCATCTTTGATTCAAAATAACATATAATAAAATACTATATTTAATTATATTTACTTATTAACATATCTTTAGACATGTTTTGTATTATTATTATTATAAAGATATATTTCTACTATTGTAATTATTATGATGTACAATAATGTATATTAATTATACTACAAAACTTAATTTTATAATAAAGAGATTTTTTATTTATGTTAAGAAAATAGAAATTTTATAAAATGAATTCCAAAAAAATTAATATCCTTAATATTTTTTTACTTTTTATAATGTTTTATGTACTCTTATAAACTGTTTTATCATCATATATTTGACTTAATAAAATATATTTAATATCTAAATAATTTCGAAGTTTTTTTTTTATAATTTTCGATGCTGCAATAAATAGAGAAACAATAAGATCACTTGTCACTCGTGTTTTACGACATATTCGTCTTTAATATTATTAATATATATTATAAAATATGCATTCATATTTTTGCAACAGATGATACTTTCAATTTTTCTTTTCCGTATTTAAATTGATACTTGACTTTTACAATACTTGATCTTTCACGATACAATTTCCCCTTTTTTAAATTTAAATATCGTGTATAAATTTATTTAAATATATTCTGGGATTTAATTAAAACATTATAAACTAATACTTGTAGTGTAATATATTATTTATCAAATTTAGTATCAAATTGAATAAAAAAATTACAATTTCGAGAACAGTGTGCAAAAAGAGTCAACAGTTTTTTTATTGAAAAATTATTTTTCAATAAATATGGTGTTGGATTGCATTATAACGACTTACTTAAAAACATATATTCTCCAATTACAAATCAAACGGAAATAATAAAAAGCAAAGCTATAAGATTACGATGTTACGAAAAACATTCATGGAATTACATCGAATTGAATAAACAGGAAAAATTTTTATCGAGGTTAATTAGATACGGAATATACGCCTATTAAGAAAGAAAAAAATAATATATCATACTTGATATACGAAAGTAAAAAATTAAATGAGCTATAAACGTGATTTAACAACACAAACAAAATTATTGATAATAAAACTTCATTACAACTTCAAATTCATATTGGGAAAAATTGAGGAGGGAAAGTATATAAGTCGTGTAAATCAATTGTTCATTTCTAATATCAATGAACAAAAACGAGCAACACGATATTTATAAATATATATATTATATATAGAAAGAAATCTTTTAAGAATATTAAAGGCCAAGACAAAGACAAAAGTTAGTATAGAAAAATATGTTAGTTGATATTTAACTTATTGATTATCTTATTATTAATCTTATTAACTTATTAATTATCTAATTAATTCAAATTAAGTTAAAAAACATTTTAAAAATTAGATAAAGCAAGAGGGAGATAAAATTGTTATCGTTGTCCTATTGCTATAGCATTTCTCGCGAAATTGTCTTATTTCATCGAGAAAAATTAAATTGTTTACAATTCAACGAAGTCTCTATCGATATTTTTCTATATCATATATATATTTGTTTTAATATCTATAATTGATTTTTTTTAAAGATAATATATCATCAAATATTTCAATACCGATACAATTATATATTTCAGAATGTACTTGTATATATGTATATTTCGTTCTAGCTATTATCTAATAAAATTTTACTATAAAATTAATTACTAATTATTATAAAATTAAATTCATTCAATGTCAAATATATATCTTTGAATAATAAATAAAATGATTTTTATCCAAGTTTATTTGATATGAAGATTATATCAAATATATATTTGCATAGATTTCCATAAATTTCTATAGATTAATAAATATTATTTTATTAATATTTACAATTATAGATATAATGGTAACAACAACAAATAGAATATTATTTTATAAATCTCTTATACATAAAAAATATTTAAGTATATTTTCAAGTTTTTACATTTATTTTCACTTTTACTTTTGTTTAGTCAATTATTTTTTCTATCTTCAAGAAAATTCCATCTCTAGGAGCCAATGTAAGCGAATTTATCTTCTTTACATAAGGAATCATCGTCTTTTCGCAAACGTCTACTCTGAAATTTTGCAGCATTTTTATCAATCCAACTTTCGTTTGATAAACGGCAAACCGTGCTCCTGAAACGATAATTTAATCATTAATTAAATTCATTGGTATATAAAAAAAATACTATCTTAATAAATCATTTACTCATAAGAAAAACAATCATTAAAACTGATAATTAGATTGATCACATCGTTACATCACACACAAAATATTATGGTATTTTTCTTCACCAATGCAATTCCTTGGTCCATCACCAAATGGTAAATAAGTCATTGGATGCCTTGCAGCTACGGCATCCTCGTTAAATCTTTCAGGATCGAACACGTCTGGATTTTCATAGAATTTTGGATCTGTTTGAATTGCATACAGAGGAATAAGTATAGATGTTTCAGCAGGTATCGATACTTTTGTACCATGGAAAGTATAATTAGAGTTGCATTGTCGCCTTAAGAGCATCCCTGGTGGATACTTTCTCAGTGTTTCTGTTTAAAAAGAAGAAGACAGATAAGCATAATTTTATCTCAATAACAATATTGTCTTACTTAAAATAACAATTGTTATCTTATTTCAATTGTGATTGTTAATCCTTGCAGATATTTCGAATATTACGTAATATACGTAATATATTTAATTATTACGTAATAACAAATTGTTTTCCACTTATTTGTGTGAAACATATATATATATATATATTACTTATATATCGTTATATAATATACCTCTAAATACTTTGTCCAAATATTTCATTTCCTTGATATCCTCGTATTTCAGATCCCCATTATTTTTGCCGTGGAATTCTTTCATTTCTTTTCGCAGTTTATCTTGTACGTTAGGATTCAGGGCCATTTCATAGAGAGCGTGTGCCATTGTCGTCGATGACGTTTCAAATCCAGCCGCGAAGAAAACGGAAGCTTGCGCGGCTAGTAAAGTGTCCGTTATTTCTGTAAAATTTCGTAAAATTCGATCAAAATTTTAATAAACAATGCACGACCATTTTTATAACCATTTTCACACACATCTTCAACAAGTATAATATAATCTTTTTGTCAAATTCTATTTCACTTTTATGTCTCCGAATTCAATTCGTAAAATGTTTCGACACAAATTTTATCAATTTGTTTCTCCGGATAAAAACAACAGACTTAAATATAATAAATGCAAAATTACTTTACTTTACCGATACTCTTCAATTTTTCCGGATGCCTCTTCAATTCCATCAACAAATTTACAAAATCTGGTCTCACGACGTTATTCTCTTCCCTGTATTTGATCGTTCCCGTGATTACCTTCGTCACAAATACAGTTGATTCCGGATACGGCAATATGAAGCCAAGTAAATTATAGAACCGTGGGAAAAAATCTCGAAGAAAATTCCTCATAAACTTGATCGCGTTTTGCTCAAAGATTTTTTTCCCCATTCTGCGGAATTCACTACGCTCGTCTGACAACGCGTTCATGTTGATTCCGAAAGCGCAACTTCCAATAACATCTGTCGTGTATCTCGCTGGTATTTCAAAACAATCCACAGGCCCTCCTCTTTTTACAACATCCTCCAAGCATTGCTCCAAGTGTTCGGCGCATTCCAATATCAAGGGAAACATTTCCTTCAATTTGCCAGAAGTAAATACCGGTGACAATCTCGTCCTTAATGGTCGCCATCTTTTAGCGTCCACACTGAACAGATTTACAGAGAAAGGCTCGACCTGCGATACAAATTAAACCGATAACATTTTAAAGAATGTAAAAATTTCTTGAAATTATTAAAATTTTTCTTTCGGAGAACATAAGATAAAATAGCTCATTCAATTCGATTATAGGCGGATGTATATTTTGGAAGTGATTGTTGATGTTAATTTTTTGCAAAGTTAATAATAGATGGATTATTATTACGAGATATATTAACAGATAAATGTTATAAAATAAAATGTCATATATATATTTGTAATTTTTGATCAAGTCCAAAAAGATTATTCAGAAATTAAAGCAAATCTCAAATAAATTATGTAACATTTTTCAGAAGATTTTCCTTAAATTGGTATCTTTTTTGCCCGAATAATCTTCACGCACAATAGAACTTTGCGTATCGATTGATAAAAATTAATAAGAAAATATATAATCCTATACATAAATATTAATTATCATTGCGAAAATATTGAATTATGACGGGCCTACTTAACTGTGTTCTAGCATAAGAAATCGATAGAACTTCAGAATATTTTTTAAATATTTCGAAATTGAATTTAAGAAAAATGATAAAAAGAAGTATACGTACTCGTTCGGGAGTATTTAATCCTCGATTATCAAATATAGAGAAATCTTTAATTAAAACGTCCTTGATGAGGTCAAGATCGCGCAAAACGAGATTAGGCGATCCGCCGAAGAATATCCCGAACATCGCCTCGTTGTCGTATCTCTTATAGAGCTCCGTTATGAAGCTGCCAATTCCAATTTTTCTTAGTAGAACATCTTTGGCGTTTCCAAAAAATGGTATAGGTCTGGGTCCAATCACGCCACGATTTTTCCAAAAATCAAACTTCGACGTGAAGTAATAATATAAAGCGAAAAATGCCGCGACGAATGCGGTTAATATTTGAAAATGATCGAGCATGTCGAGTCGATGAAACGAAACGAAAGTACGGTTTAAAGATCAGTATTCACTCGTCTGTTCCAATGTGGAATGACGAGATGAGAGCACAATTGATGTTCTCAACTTGAACCGACGAAGCTTCAGATTAAACTTCTCATGCCGTTGTACATTTATATTATGTCTATCATCCTACTCTCAGATTTTTACGTCGCAGTAATAATGCATGGAAGCATGATCTTGCATTTTCTCGAAGATGCAGAAAGAAATAATGGCATTAATTATTATAGTGATATTTATAGTGATATTAATTTTTAAAGTTATACTCGTCAAAATTATTATTAGAATTTACAAAAATATATAGATTTTCATTGTTAAACTAAATTTTGTTTTCTTCCTTTAATCAGGATTTATCTTTATACTTATTTGATACAATAGTAACCTTGATTATAAATTAATAAATTATAAAATCTTAATTAAGATAAATTTTCTAAATTAAAATTAATAATTTTTTTTAACGTTGCGTAGTCGATATTACAGATAAATATAACGATACATTTTACGAAAAGTTACAATTTTTTATATTTTTATCAAACTGTCTAGATGCGTTAAACAAAATCTTTTGATGAATCATTATCTCGATAATAAAATAACTGAGCTGAATATAATACTTATAAAATATAAAAGTTTCTTGAAAAAGAAATTCATCTTATTATTATACTTAAAATAATATAACATCTATCTTTATGCATTAAAAAGTATATATAATTGTTCTATTTAAAACAAAAATTGATCTTTCATATTATTTATTCGCATCCAGTTATAAAAAAAGTATTTGAATCATACAACATATTTTTTCTCTCAAATATTTTTTAATATTTTCTGTTTTTTAATTATTTTTTCTTTCATTCCTTTTTTTTTTTTTTACGGATTGATCGTTAGTGCCATCTTTTAAGGATCAAAATCATTTCTTCAAAAAGGTTTAACAGATGGCGTTGATTCTCCTATTTATGTGTTACTCTATCTTGTTAATTCTTATCTTGCCTTATCGTGTTCTTATATTTACTTTATATATGTACATTATCTCTTAGTTTAGCTATCAATTTTTTAAGATTAAATTATAGTCATAATTCTCTATTCTCTCTATTTTGCTTTTAATCCTTCTGAATAAATCAATCTTCTTTTTCTTAGAACGTACAAACGTGTTATCACTTTAATAAATAAATAGAATTATAATATTTTTTCAAGAAAAATTTTCTTTTACGTTAGTCGTCATAATGGAATTAAAAATTCTATTAATAGAATTTATTCTAATATTATTGTCATTTTAAATCGTATTTCTATTTTTTATCTTCAAATATGTATTTCTACGTACAAATTGTTTCTTTTCTGATGCATTTGAGTGAATAAATTATACATCGATTAGCATAATACAAATGAATTTATTTATTCAACATTTATCGTTTAGTATAATGCAAATGGAAATTCACACATTTCTCTATCTTCTTATATGCCAATATTGATGATTAAATTTACAATATCTTTTCTTATCACGTGAAATTATTATGTAGAAAAGTGAATCATAAATTATTATCATCACATATGATCAGACATTATCGGATATGTTATTAAAAATCATCAAATTTAATCAGATTAGATTTACAGAATACAATAATCTAAGAATTTTACAAATAATCATATTTAAGCATAGATGAATCAACTAATTTGAGCTTATGCTTATTTTTTAATACTTTTTCCTTGCTTTTTTTGATAAAATTTTTCAAACTCGTAAGAATAAACCAATAAAAAAATTTTCGTCGATAATTCAAAATAAATTTCCATTATTGTTTATTAATATTATATATTATTTGACAAATAAATCTTTATACAGAAAATATTAATGTTCGTAAGAAGTAAAAGAAGCCAAAAAAGAAAAACAATATATGTATATATAAATTAAAATGATTCATTCATTTAAAATTCATGATACACTATATTTTAGATATTTTAGATATATGTAGATATATGAATTATATATATACTATAAACGCAATTATATCCTATACATTATAGAAAATAATGTTTCAAATAAGACATATTCTGTTTAAAAAAAAAAAAAGTAATTTAAATATACTTAATTCCTTCGAAAATAAATTTGTACATATAGACATATGGAGTTAATTATACATTCTTAAATGTATTTTAAATTAACAGATAAAGTTGTAATCTTTATAAATGTAATAAAAGAAAAAGTCAACAAGAAATCGTTGGTTTATTATTATAAAACCGAGACTTTATTATAATCTAAATTTTAAAAAGTTATCGTATACAAGAAAAACATAAGTAAAAATGTGTAGTTTCATAATTTTTTATTGGATGGTATATTTTTTTGAGTTAATTGAGATATATTTTCTTTAATATTATGTATATTTATTTTAATTTAAATAATTTATAAAATGATTTTTATATCATCATTTTATATCATCATTGTTTCCGCAGTTCCATGAAATCAAAATTGTAAACAAACCATTGCCATCTCTTGCAAGTCATCATGAATATATTCAAAGACTGCTCAATATAAAGCTAGGATATTTTACACGCAATCAGTCATTACAAATATATTCAAGCATCAGTATATCCTATGTATATATATATACTCGTTAAAGTGTAAAATAATTGTAAAATATTGTGTCTAATACCTGTATATCAAACATATTTGTGCATTTATAAATAATTAATAATAAGTTTCACGATATAATTCGTAAGTTAAATTGTTATTCCACTTTTTATTTAATCCTCACTAAATAAATACAGAGTGTTATAAAAGAAGTGTTATTTTCTCATTTCTAAATACTTTATAATACATAAAATAGAATAAATATTTATGTAATTTTTTAATATTAATTTATAGAATTTTTTTTCATATACAAGTGTGTGTTACTTTCATAAAATTTTCACATGTTTCTTATGTTATTCTTTGAATTTTTTTACTTAATATTGTTTTGCAATTATTTAATTGTAATCGACTTATTCGCTTAAACCATTCTCTTTAACTTATGAAAAAAATCGTTGAATCTGTCAAATTAAATCCGCCGAATCATTTAATAAATATTCATATCGTAAGTTCTTATCGGAAATAGTAAACATACTTTTCATTAAAAAAATAGGTCATTATTCTTATCGCAGATAAGAAGCGTATTCAATTTATAAGAATACTTAATATGATAATTCATTGTTTTATGCAATAATGTTATCTTATTTTTCTATTTTTAGAATAATAAATTTTATTTTTGGAATAACAGATAGAATAAATATATATATATATA